ATTATATAATCTATATAATCAATTTATTAATCTATGAAACATAAATCTGGATAAATTTTCATGATTTTTGATATCTGATTAAATATAGATGTTTAAATGCTAGAGTATGTATTTACTTTAGCTTTATTTCTGACGTATTTATACCCATAAGAATTTCGTGTGTAAGATTGTTTCTATTAAAATTTAGCATGATATTGTTTTTATTTAAATCTCATGTGACATATTTGTGTGACAAAACAATATTTTGAAATTTCATTAGATATTTGCACTCAGAAAAAAAACTAGCACAATTTTCTCATTGTCTTTGGTGATTTCATGTTATGATAAACTAGTTTTTATTTTACTCGAGTTCAATCAGTATGACAAGGGTCACATTGTCTATGAAAAAAGATTTTAATCTCGCGTAATAGAAATAAATAAAACAATTGTCAATATTCATCATATTTCCAGAAAATTCTAATAAAAAAAATCTATCAAATGAATTAATGAATTTAATATTCGAGAAGCGTAGATTGTATATTATAAATATTATCAATTGTCAAAATTAAAATAACAATTAATCAAATGACCATATAGTATATTATTTTCTGTTTAAACAATCGATGCAAATATCGAACTTCTCAGCCATGTTAAGTTAATAATGAGGAATTTTTAGTAAAATATATCATAAAATATCTCAAGAATTTATTGAATAGAACTTACAATATTAAAATTTTACTTTAAAAAATATAATGGTATAATAAACTTATATATAATATGAGCGAATGTAATTAAGAATATCTCAAAAATAATACTGATTATGTTAATAGAAATAGAACTGGAAAATTGTTTTTATAGAAAAATCTTATAAATAAAATTCTATTAAATATTTATTATAGAAAATGAAAATATTACTTTCTCATGTTTATATTTAATATTAATATTTCTTTTTCAAAATTGTGTAAAATATATTTAGAAATATTGAAAAAAATACGAACAATTATTTCTACTAGAGAATGTTTATCGATCAATCTCAACTCTAACCATAGTCGCATGATTTTTTTTCTAAAATAATATTAAAGAGACGAATGTAAATATCAGTATTTTGCTCATCAACCTAAATTTTCACATTTGACAAAACGATAAAAAACTAAAATAAAATAAAATAAAATAAATAAAAAAACCTGACTATTCCTTTCATAATAATAATTAATAAACATTTTGTTACACGATGTTTATCTTCATAAACTCGATTTCTTATTTAACTTCTCTTATTTTCATTTTATGATCATTTTATTTGTTTTCTCATTTTATTATTGTTATAATAAAAGAATTCTCCAAAAACATTTCATTAAGATAATATTTTTCTAAAGTAGAAAGATGATTTTTATAATCATGATGATTATCTAAAAAACATAATTATTTTAAAAAAAAAAAAATATCTTATTGAAGAATTCAATCTCATCGACTATTCTATAACTAAAAATAGACATTAATTAAAGTTTTTCTAAGGAATTAAACATATAATCGATTGAGAAGAATGAAAATTGTTTTTTTTTTGTTTTTAATTGAGAAAACAAAATCACTGAATAGAAAATCCCAATGCATTGTGATATTAACTTGTTAGTTCTTATTTTTATTTCAATATTACTTAACTTCGAACATTATTAACAATCTGATAATAAATTGACATTTTGTTTTTTCCTACAATGAATTATCTAGAAAAATTGAACAAAAAAAAAACAAATAATATCATATTAAGAAAAATTTCTTAGACAATTAAAAAAATATTCAATTATACCGATGTCAAAGAGATAAGTTTGTCTGTTTAAAGATATCTCAAAGAAATTTCAAAAATGAACATTTTTTTCTTTCCTTCAAAATCTTATAGATGACGACAGTTAACCTTCTTAGTACCACAATCACAAATAATAACGAAAAATAAATTAATTGATGATATTAATCGAAGTAGAAGTATCATCATATCGAATAGAAATATGAAGCTTTCTTTTGTTTTTTTGTTTTTTATTAGACTCTTTGTAAAATCAGTTCTAAGTATATATTTACTTAAATTATATTTTAACAGTCAAAAACAAAAAAAAAATTATAAATTAAAAAATATTTTATGAAAATGATCGAAATAGAACATATTTGTTGATAAATAATCTTCGACTGTCATAAGACTATTATTTAATATAAAAAACAAAACAAAAATTTCATTTGTCAGTCTTTTATAAAACGTTTAATAGTGTGAGATAGAAAAATATTGATACTATCAAAGCAAATACATAAACTTCACCAGTGTATATTTATTTAAAATATTCAGAAAAATAAATTTCTATAAATATTTAGAAAAAAATCTGATGTTGTCTTAGAAGATGTTTTTAAAAATATCTTATTTTATTTTGAAAATTTCAAGTTAAAATGTACTTTTGATAAAATTTTCTTTTCTACATCTGTTATTTATAAAAATAGTTGCATAGTTTATCGATATTAATATTGGAGGCGTCTTGGAAGAATAGGTTTATTTCAAGATTTTTTTATTACTATTGTTTTTTTTGTTCTCATATCAATTCATCTTGTATGTGAAATCATTATTCGAAGTACAATTTTTCTGATAATATTGAAAATTTTAGAAAAATCTTCATTTACAACAACTGACCGAAATTAGCAAAACTTTTCAAAAGTTATTTTTTTTTGTTTTATAGATTATGTGATATATTCGATTTTTCTAATAAAAAATACAATAGTTAATGATAAATACTGTTGTTTTAAATCTTGATTGATATTCGAGAGAATTCTATAATATGGAATAGAGATGTAGATGTTAAATATTTACTCTTATAATAAATGATACCTAAATATAAAAATAGAAAGGAATTTTTCTTGTGAATAAATTTTATGACACTTTATCAATATTTCAATGATGTAGAATTTAAAATACTCTCATATAAGAATTTCAAATAATATGATTTTTAATCGAATATGATCTTTCATTATACAGATAATTAGGCAAAACAATAAACGGAAATATTGATACGAAAAAACAAATATTTTCTTCAAGTTTACAGATCACATAACTCTCGTTCTTTTCTTGAATAGGCATTCTTCTATACTATGCTGCCTCTGTCTAACACATAACTCTTATAATCGTTCAGGTTATATTAAATGATGATTGGTTTTTTCTTTTTTTTCTTTCATAGGAGAATATCAACTGCTATTTATGTAACAAGAGAGAGAGAGAGAAAGAGAATATATTTTTTCTGTTTTATATAATTAAATAGTATTTAACAGTAAAGAATCTCTTAGAAAAATTCTAAATTGTTTTTTCTCATGTTAATATATATCACAATATAAGATCAAAATAAAAAATATACTAGTGGTAAGATTATATATTGAAGGATTTTGATTATTAATAGAACTTGTTTTTCGAATAAAATTAAAATTATAATCGATTATAATCGTTCTGAATCAACAATAATTTCTCAATTCTATACATATTACTTTTTCTAGAAATTTTGTTTTAAGAAAAAATATTCTGCTTTATGAATAATTTTATTTTCTATTCTAGAAAATTTTCTTAATAAATCAAAATATTTAAGATTTATTTGTTCGAATGTTCGAGTCTTATTTCAACATGTATTTATATTCTAGTTTCATAAACGTTAATTATCTAAATAATTTAAACCTTTTTATTCGACGTCTTCTTTTAATCAACTATTAACTATTGTTTAAAGTATAATTGACGTATCAATTGAATAATTTTACATGATGTATAAATTATTGAATAAATATGTGGATATACTTTTAAAAAATTATTGTTCTGAGAATATTTTTCGTAGTTTTACGTTTTTTCCAAATTTGTGATAATGAATAAAAAAAAGAGAATAACTGAAAAGTATCGAAGAACTAACTAACACAAGAGTAACAATCATTTTTTATACTTGATTTAATAGTTCACTAAAATATATTTGGAAGAAAAAAAGAAAATTCTATCTCGTGTTATACAATTAAGAACAAACTTGTAAATAATATGTTATGAATAAACTTAAAACTCGAGAAATAAATAGCCATTGACAACTTTTTAATAAAGAATTTTTAATGTTTAGATTATTAGTTTTGATTTATTTTTATTGAAAATAAAATAAACTGTATTCCTCTTCAATGAATTTCAATTGTTTAATAGAGGAACATAATTGAATATAATTAAAAGAGAGACATAAAAGAAAATTTATTGATATTTTCTGATTGTACTTTTAGATAGATCGATCGATTTCTAATTGATAATTTAAAATAGTAGACAGATATTTCTATCAAATTTATTATGTTAGTTTCTCAAAAGATGATTAGTATTAATAAATTGAAAATGGACAATAGATATGAATCAAAATGGAATAGTAGATATTTAAAGCAGAACGTTAAATTTTTCGAGAACATCTACTGCTTTTATAACATTGATTTCTATTATTTTTCTAACTCAAATGAAATTTATGAAGCATAAAATTGAATATAAATAATAAATATTTAAGGTTGTGAACGTGTCTGTAATTGGTAGTTAAGAGAAAAATAATATTTACACTCATATTCAAATCAACTTCAAATTATGATGAAAACTATAGAATACGTTTAAGAGAGTTTCTTGTCTTTTAAATTGTTAATCAAGAAAATGTTCAGTAATAATCAAAATGAGTTTGTTCTCGTATTCAATTTCAAAATGAAAATTTCGCATAATAACAATTATTATTCGAATTTGAAGAATAGACTTAAGAGTACTTTATTTCAGTAAGTAGACAAATGTTTTTAGAGATTTTTTTTTTCTATTTTTCAAAATCATTACCGAAGTAAATCTACATATGAAAATCTTTCTAAAATTCTATCAATAGTTTTTTTTTTCAAGTTTCTCCAAATGTCAAGTTTTGGAGAAACTATTGATGGATTTTAGTTTATTTATTTTAGATAATATTATTGAAATAAACTATTTAATACATATATTCTATAGAAGAACAAATCAATCTAATAAAATGGTTGAACGAAAATCTTCTAACGATTATCGACGTTTTTTCAGGTTAGTTGAATATAAACAGATCAATCATTAAAAGAATAATAAAATCTTTTAACATAAATCTATTGATTATTAGCATAGGTAAATTAATGTTCCAAACAAATGATTTATTATCAATACCAGAAGATCCGTATGTAGTATTTGTTTGGTCTTATTCTTTTCTTTTTTTATCTTAGTTTAAATATTTTTATTTTTAATTAGTGATGTTATTAACATTGACAAATCATTCAAAAGTGAAGTGATAAAAACAAAAAAAGATAATAACAAGAAAAATTTTTCTGATAAAGATCGTATTAATATAAATGTAAGTGGACTTCATTTTGAAACATTAAAATCAACATTGGAATTTTATCCAAATACACTTTTGGGTAATGAAGAACGACGAAAATATTTCTATGATTCAATACATAATGAATATTTTTTTGATCGTCATCGATCCTGTTTTGATGCAATTCTTTATTATTATCAATCAAATGGTCGATTACGTCGACCAAATTTCGTTTCAATTGATACATTTCTTGAAGAAATAACTTTTTTTGATTTAGGTGAACAAGCTCTTGCTCAAGCAAGAGAAGAAGAAAATTTAAAAGAACTTAAAAAAATATCTTTACCACGAAATAGATTTCGTCGTTATTTATGGGCTACATTAGAACATCCAGAATTTTCATTTATAGCTAAATGTGTACAAATTTTATCTGTATTTGTTGTTTTATTATCAACTCTTGCTTTAGCTATTGAATCATTACCTCAATATAAAAATTTAAACAATAATACATCTACAAATGATAATAATCAACAAATTTTAATAAAAATCAATCAAACAAATAATACTGATCAATTATTGATAGTAAAATATAATTATCAGAATTATTTTTCATCACCATTTATTATTATTCAAACAGTATGTATTATTTATTTTACATTAGAATTAATTTTACGTATAATAAGTATGCCATCATTATATGGATTTATTAATAGTTTTATGAATTGGATTGATATTCTTTCTATATTACCATATTATATTGGTATAATTATTTTTTTTACTAATCAAGGTTTTCATAGTCATTCAAAAACACAATCTGCATTACAATTACTAAGAATTCTTCGTTTTGTACGTGTATTTAAATTCTATCGAATATTTCGAAATATAAAAGCAATACGAGTATTAGCAATAACATTAACTGAATCTTTTGTGGATTTTATTATTTTAGCTGCTATATTAACTTTATTAGGTTTTGTATTTGGTGCTATTCTTTATTATATCGAAAATGATATTAATGGAACTCAATTTAATTCAATATTTACAGCAACTTATTGGGGAATTATAACAATAACTACTGTTGGGTGAGAACTGAGAATTCATATTTTAAATAAATCCAAAAACCTTGGATTCAAATCCGAGTGTTATGTGTAATGCAAAAAGTGAAGAGATATATTCACTGTTTTTTATCATCTCAGACAATATCTACCCTATTTGCTTTTCGCATGCAGTTTTTATGCATTTTTAGACATTTTTCAGGCGATCTTATGTTCTGAAGAATTCTGAGAAAAAAAATCCTTTTAACCCTCCCCCCCTCCTCAGGGACGGTCTGGTCAAAAATCACAATTTTTTCTATAACTCATCCATTTCTTGACGGATCCTTCTCATCGTTCTTCTCTCAACCGAGACATTGTTAAGACTGAACTGTATAGAAGATTTCATCACGATTGGACTCTCCTTTCGAAAGTTATTGTGTAAACGGACGACCGGATACACTGACCGATTGTAGAGTGTAAGAACTTTTTGAGTACACAAAAAATATTTGTTTTTATTTTTCTAGATATGGTGATTTGGCACCATCAACACCTGGTGGACGAATTATTGGTTGTTTTTGTGCTGTAAGTGGAACAGGTACAATAGCTATGCTTACATCAATACTTGTTGATCGATATCAACGAGTATATAATCGTCGAATGTATATTAAACGACAAGAAATTCATTTTGATGATGTTTTTAATATTAAAAAAAATGATCTTGAATCAAAACATTATAATCAAGATCGAGCCAGTTTAATTCTCAATGATAATCATGTAAAAGAACAAGAACATCAATATATTTTACATAACGAACAAAATAATTATCTTACTCAAATAAAAGATAATGAAGAAAATTTCAACTCATCAATTATAGATACAATCAATCAAGATAGAAATCAAATATATTTCACAGTATATCATTCACCAAATACAACCAATGCAACAATAGTAGAAAATAAACTTAATGACACTAATATGAATATGAATAATTAATTTAATAATCATTTTTATATAATCTTGAATTAATTTGACTATGAAATCAATTCATTTAATATGTTTCAATACTTTTGGTATATTTTCGTTTTATCGAAAAGTATAATTGAAGAAAAAGATGAATAATACGAGTGATTTATTTCAATTGTTTGAATTCTGTTAAAGAGACTATAAGTTTCATAAAAAGAAATAAATTGAAATATATTGTCACATCATTCAGCTATGTTAGAGTGTTTGTTTGGGTATTGATTTTTGTTTTTGAAGCTCACATTGACACTCTGTTATGTCAATGATAATAAAAAATCGTTATAGATCTTCAGAAGAAAATAAGCTATCAATCATTTTCGTCAATAAACTATTGTTTCAAAAAATACTTTTGCTTCTACCATCGATTATAGTTTTTTGTGTACTCAAAAAGTGAGTACACTACTAAAATCGGTCTGTGTGTCCGTCCGGCCGGCTGTCCATAGGCACGATAACTTTCGAAAGAAGAGTCAGATTGCGATGAAATTTTCTACATAGTTCAGTCTTAACAATATCTCGATCGAGTTCGAAGATGAGCAGGATCCGTCGAGAAATGGCTGAGTTATTAAAAAAATTGTGATTTTTGACCAGAAGACCATCCCTGAGGGGGGGGGTTAAGGGGATTTTTTCAAAAAAAAAATTTTTTTCTCTGAATTGTTCACAACATATATAAATCGACTCAGTTTTTAACGCTGATTCTGAATCTGATATTAGTTTTGAATCGAATCATAGTTTTGTGTACTCAAAAGTGAGTAGACTATAGAATAGTCAGTGTGTCCAAACGTCCGATTGGCTGTTTACATAATAACTTTTGACAACAGAGTCAGATTGTGATGAAACTTTCTACACAGCTTAGTCTTGACAATATCTGGGCCGAGTTTCAAGATGAGAAAGACCGGTCGAGCCGTTCCTGAGTTATTGCAAAAATACTCATTTTTCCCTATAGGTTTCTATGGAAAAATGGACCTATCGCGACTTTCGTAAAAGACTTTTCCTATCAAAATCAATTAAAATGCCAACTATTATATACCATTCGATAGAGAATTCCAATAGCTACAAAATGATATATAAAACATAAAGAAATAAGAAGATTGACTCACCTATCACAAGAATAGTTAAATAGAACTGGGCTATATTTTGGTTCACGATCTAATTGATCCACAAATAGCGCTCTATCCCCCGATCACAGTGATGATGTTTCGAGATCTTCAGAGGTGGAGAACTCGAATGTGTACTGCAATTCCAACATAATACTATTGGCTGTGCAGTGGCCAATAGAAAGGAAGTTATAGGGAAAATGACTGTTTTAGGGTAAATTAAGGGAAAGAGTTCAAACTTGAGCTGTTCGATCCCAAGTCCAATTGGTTTGGGAACGCGCAATGAAAATCAAAATTTGAAATGCTAGTTTTCCCAGTATAATTTTGATATTCAGTCAGTCTAGGATGATTGATTTGTATGATTCACTTTTTGAAGTACACATTACTCTCGGATTTAAATCCGAAGTTTCCGCATTTTTTATTTATAAAATAGGTTGCTATAATTGAACATAACATCAATAATATGTTCCCTGGTTATTCTGCTGTTTTTCATATTCATGCAGCAGCTGTTGAAGTTCAATTAAAAAAATTAATAATTTTAATTGACTGTAAAACAGGTGAACGAACACAAGAACATCCACGTTTTATTAAACACGATCAAGTTGCAATTGCAAGATTTGAATTGACTCAATCAGGTCAAACAATATCTATGGAACCATTATAAACGTTTTCCTCAACTTGCTCGATTCACATTACGTGATGAAGTGAAGATCGAACCGTTGTTGTTGGCAAACGTTCTTAACAATAGTCGAGTAAAAACTTTTCTTTGTTTGTTGTTATTTCATATTTATTCTCTTTGAAAAAAAAACAAAACATACACACAATCTATGGATAAGACATTTGTTATGCATCTGATTTAAAGAAGAACATTAAAATAAAATGAAAAGAATCATTTGTCTTTTTCGTTTGTAGATTTTATCTCTCCATCTCTCTTTCTGATGTTATTTTCACGTTTCTTAATTCAGTGAATAAGATTCTGTTTTTCATATCGATTAAAATCTACTAATGTAAATTTAATCGATGAATTAAATAAAATAAAAAACAAAATATTTAATGAAAATATTTAATGAAGAAAAAACACAAAACAATTTCTTCAATTAAGACGTTGATTAGGTGTAAAATTTCATTCATTAGAACAACTTCGAAATGAATCAAATATCCAAATCGATTGTAAATATTTTACAAATACAATTTTTATCTAATGTTTTTTTTCATTTAACTTGATAAATTCTTTAGTTATTTATTAAGATAAAAAACTCGAAATGATAATTTACAATATCGAATTCATATTGAATCTCGTCTAACACGACAAAATATTGCTGTAAATGAACTTTCTCAACATAATAGAACAAAATAGAAAATTCGATTTCTATAGGATAGTTTGAAAGTGTCTGTAGTATTAATTATACTTCATCATATATCAATTGGTCAATTGTAAAAACAACAAATGATAAAAATTAATTTCAAGTCAAACAATAGAATTCATTAGAAGTTAATCTTAATAGAAAATATAAATTTTCTCAAAGCATTTAATCAAGTTCGTTCATTTATTTTTTATCTATTTTTTTCTAGAAAAATATTTCATTTATGTTATTCGATTGTCTTTGAAAACTTTCATTAAATTATGTAGATGTTCTTCTTGTTGAACAATCAATTAATTGCTATCCGAATTTAAAATTAGTAACATATATATCACTAATACAACAATATTCGTGCTATTTTAAATACATTACTTCATTGTCATTCGAAATCAAAACGTCCAGTTTATCATATTTCAGGATGAGAGATGTTGCTTTACGTTTTCGATTATTTTTTGATAATGAATAATCAAGTGCAGAATTTTTTCTAAAAATATCTTATATTTAATAATATAAGAAATAATGAAATGATATCAATCAATATAGATGATCAATTAATAAATGAATTATCATCGAACAAGCAAAGGATAACGAGAACGAGAACCAATGGCTCAATGTTTATTAAGAGATTTAGCTTTTCTTCAATGTGTTATTGAAAAGAAAGATTTTTATTTGCCTAAAAACAATAAAATAATCATATTTGATCATCAATATACTGTTTCATTTATAATAAAGAATTTGAAAAAATCGTACATTTTAAAACTTGTTCAAAATTTAACAAAATTTCGAAAAATAATTTCTTAGATAGTGAAATGGAAAATATTGTTGTTCAGCAACGATATAGCACAGAAGCAAATAGTTAATATTTTGTTCTATGGTCATGTTGGTTGCG